TCTTTTTTTCAACGGAAATACTATTTTGAACTTGTTGAAAAAAAAAGGAAGTTGCAAAAGAATTTGATTTTCAGATAGTAGACAAAAGTGGCTGAAACCTGGTTTACATTGAATTAAAAGAAAAAAACAACAAATTGCATGATTTTTCTCAACAACAGAGCTTTCAATAAATTACTAACTATTATTTTTTTTTATTGAAAGCAAAAACCTGTAGTTTTTATACAAAATTAGGGGAAAAATTACATTAAAAAAAATTGTGAGTAATAACATAAGGCTAGTATAACTTCTTTTTTTTTTAACCAAGAAAGACTATTTTAAACTTGTTGACATTTGATTTTCAGAAAAGTAGACAAAAGTTACAGAAACCTGGTTTACGTTGAAATTAAACTTGAGAATAAAAAAAAGCCACAATTTGCATGATTTTTCACAGCAAAAAAGTTTTAAACAAAATAATAACAAAAAATGGTTAAATTATAAGCAAAAAAACAAAAGTGTTTGTAAGAATTATCAAAAAAAAAAAGACAAAAGTATAAAAAATAAAGCCGGTTTTGTTTTGTTTTTTTTTTCACTTTCTTGAGTGAACAAAAATCGCTGAAACCTGATTCACACTGATCAAATTCTGATTAAAAACAAAAATGTTTGTTAATTTCTACATTTGAAATAAAACACTAATTGAAAGACACTGGTTAATTCAAAAGCAAAAACATAATAATTTTTGATATTATTCGGGGAAAGAATACATTAAAAGCTTATTTTAAACTTGTTAAAAAAAGGAAGTTGTTACTCCGAGAAATAGACAAAAGTCGCTGAAACCTGCTTTACATTGAAAAATTAAAATTAAACTTTCGATTAACAAAAACAATAAAAAATAGTAATTTATGACAAAAAAAATTCAAAATAACGTTCAATTCTTTTTTTATCCGTAAGAAAAGAAATTTCGCTCAACATGATTGGTCAGTTTCGGTCACATGACCACACCCTCATTCCCGATTGGCCCTTTCGATCGGCGCTATTTTCAAACGTGGAAAAACGTCAAAACTCACCTTAAAGAAGACTTCGACACCGTAAATAAGGAAAAAAACGACAACAATGAAGAGCAAAAATGCGTAACAGCCGTTGAATAGATGTCTGTAGAAACTGGGATCATTGGGTGGTGGTTCAGCCAATGTGGTTGTAATCACTTCAGCCAATAACAAACTATAACTGATGATGTTAAATGTGACGAAACCAAGAAGCGACTTTGAGAGAAACTGTGACTTGTCCCATCGAATCCCTTGCAAATGAAAAACCTAAACAAAACAAAACAGATTTAATTGTTGTCTTAAGTGCAAACATAACCTTGAAAAGTGACCATAATAGGCCGATAAGCAATTAATTACTTATTAAGAAACGGTGATAAAAACAACCACAAATAAAATTTTTAATGAGTTTTGCTTTACCTCAGCCCAGAAGCACACAATTAGAGATGAGCTGGACATGAGAAGGGGGTAATAAGAGGACATCAAACTCGACGACCAGCCCTCCTCGAACGCATCCTGAAATAAAACCAACAGTGATAACGTAATCAAAAGTGCAGTGAAAACAAACCGGAGATATGAAATAAGCCCCTCGAATCAAGCTCGCAATGCACATGACGAAATAAATGGCCTTTTGAGTGGTGATCCGACACGCTTTCAAAAACGAGGGGGCTTTCAAGCGCTGGTACTCCGACATGACGCACATTATCAGCTGGATGGCGCACACGAGCCCCACCAGGAAGAAGACACCCCCGATCCCAGCATGGTAGGGCAAATTGGGGCCGTCGCACACCTCCCCCGTGTACCGGATGTCGCACATGCAAGTACCGTTATTGCACTCCCCGCGACCGGAACAGTCCCTGCTACAGGATGACCCCAAACCTGCCATTTGGAGCAAACTTCGAAACATATTCGAGTTCTTCACCTGGAACAAAGGACTCAACGAGGGACTTTGACAGCGCATATACACCTACCACCCGTACCCCAAACACACCACCAAACCTCAATTTAACACTTTTTATCGGTTTTATTGCTTCAAACGCTCAACACTTGACACACAACTCAACATAATAATAACAAATGTCAGAATTTGACACCAATCGCCATCTTGTCTCAACCAGACTGAAGTTAGCCACAAGTGAGACACTTAGTCATTACGGGGGAGGCGGTTTTGGGAACAATGGGAAACCATACTGGGGGTTGTTTGTGAGTCTTGGGGGTGTCCCCAAATTGCCTTAAATTTGTTTGAAAAATTGAGCTTGTTGGGGAGGAAGGGGTTGGTATCCGTGTGAAGTTAGCAACTGAAGTCGCCCACAAGTGTGACACGAAATAAATAAAGTAATGGGGTTGTTGGTATTGGGAAAAAATACAGGACTTTCTTGTGGCTCTAGGACTCCCCTTTGGCTCGAGTTTTGGTAAAATTTGTGTCAATAGTTGGTATCAGTGTGAAGTTAGTAACTAGACTGAAGTTAGCCACAAATTTAGCTACAGTCAAATTTAAAATTTTTTTTACAATAAAATTGATTTAATGACAAATTACCAAACTTTATTATGTATTTATGTAAATTTAGGTGTGCTTATTTACACAGGAATAATTAATTTTGTGCCAAAATGTGATGTAAATCGGCTAAAGGACTGATTTGGTAACAAAACTGTCAAATCTGTGTCAAATTTCTTTAAATTTTAATTAAATAAAAAGTAAATAATATTCATTTAAGATATTTTAACCCTAAASATTCAAATCGAAGGATGTCAAATTGACAACACAACGATTTGAAAATTACTGTTTAGTGACATTCAGGCTTGCAATATAATTTAAATCTGCTGGTA